CTAACCTACGGGTAATATCATCTATTTATGATGAAAGTAGCAATGTGTGAAAAAAAGTTAATAATTTATTGATATCAATGATATGATATAATTAAAAATGTCAATGCCAGAGAATAACCAGTCTCGATTATCTGCCGAAACATATTCCACTGGGTGTAAAACAGGGTAACACAAACTGTGAGGCTACAGAACTGTGAGATTGCAAAAATCCAAGAATCGTAAAACTGACGCCTCTAGAAGTAATGTCTTCTATCCCACTAGGTGCACCTGTTTTCACAATCTTACACATATTTAGAAATTCAGAATGGATTCTTGTTTCAATATATGCACCCAAGGCATCTTAAGTCTTATGCCTATTTTGTGGCAGGCAAACAGGGAAAAAGCTTTATTTAATTAAACATTTGACCTTTTCTCAGTCCTTATCCTTTGGAGGTATTTTGGCATTTTACAATTACCGGTATATACACTAGTATTATGGCGTATTTGTCCTTTCTTGCCCTGTTATCAGTGAAACACACATCAGTTTTCGACAAGTAAAACATAGTCTTTGAGGTGTCAAAACAGTAGAAAACTGAAGTTGGAAATCTTTTACTCCATTATGGAAATTTGACAATTTGTGGCAGAACTGAATCCGAATATTGGCCTAAACACCTTGATAAAAATATCCGATTGAGCCAAGCAGCAATCATTCCATTATATTCTGTTGAACACCATACAATTCATTTCAGGACTGGTTTCCTTTGTAAACATGTCTAACTCCAAAACACATTACACATGGATAAAGAAGGAAGATGTAACAGGGACATGCCGCTAGGAGGTGTGCAGCTAATACTAATGAAGTGATCTTAGCGCTAAGATGATCGTAACTCCAACACTTTAATATGGGCTTACAATAGCCTTAGTGCTAAGTTCACTTTGTGGAATGGGACCGAGGGCTCTGGGCCCCTTTCCACAAAGCGATCGTAGCGCTACGGCTGTCGTAAGTCTATGTTAAAGTATGGCAGTTACAATCATCTTAGCGCTACGATCGCTTTGTGGAACAGGGCCCTGTTCTACAAAGTGATCTTAGCGCTACGATTGTCGTAAGTCTATGTTAAAGTATTAGAGTTGCGATTGTCTTAGTGCTAAGATTGTTTTGTGAAATGAGGCCGTGGCAGTAGGTAAAGTCAAGAATACCCTGAATACAAGACATGCTGGTACTACAAGACCATACATTAATACTAGGCTATATCTTTAGAGGATTCCAATACATATAGGTTACCAGGGCCCACTTGCACAAAGCGATCTTAGCGCTATGACTATTGTAAGCCTATGTTAAGCATGGGAGTTATGATTATCTTAGCGTTAAACTCGCTTTGTGCAAGTGAGCCCAGGCTCCATTCCACACAGCGGTCTTATTGCTTCGACTGTTGTAAGTGGGAAGGGGAGTTACGAGTAATGTTTTTATACACTACAATCCTACATTGCCTGTGAATCCATATGGCCACTACACTGTGTAGTCGTAGCTTGCTGTTTGTAACGCATGGTAGTCGTAAGTCAAAATGGAAGTTATGATTGTCTTAGTACTAAGATGGCTTTGTGAAATGGGGCCCAGGATGGTGAACCAAATACAATGGACTAGGGATCAAATTTGTGAAGATTGACTGTTTAACATTTATTCAAAAGAATAGGCACTGTTAATACATTACAGGAATTTAAGCCGGGGATGAATTGATGATGTAGATTAGGTGACTATCAAGAACAGGAATGCTAAGACTTAAAGCCCAGGTTGACAATACATGCTTGAATTTCTAAATGATGATTGTGCTCAAACAGTTCATTGGTTATAAGTAAGGTCTATTTTTATAAATTTTCTTTTTTAAGTAATCTTTTTACATATTTAAGTCAGGTGAAAAAAAGAAGTTTTGTATATGAAACATCCATGTTCTATAGACCTGCTGTCAGTTTGGTGAATTCATAAACATAATAGTAATAACAAAACCTAGTTTTCTATTTTCAAATCTTTTCTGAATTGCATATTTGAACACAAATGTGTCCATATATGTTATGCTTATAAGACAGCATAAGCTTTGAAGAAATCAATGACACAGATTCAAATATATACACATCACCTGACAAAACTCACTACAGTTAACTATGAACTGTAAAACTGTGGACAGTTGGCTAAGTGTAGCACCTTATCATTTTACTATCATGATATAAACATTGAGAATGTTCACTACACTATCATATGGGAGGTTAGTTCTGTAACAATACACTCCGTCACAAACATTACACTGCTCGACAGTAATGTCATCATCCGATACATGGGAAGATAAATAATTGCACTACCCGTGTCAGGTAAACGAGACATATTCCATTATCAAAGAGAACAAGTAAACTTCTGTCATCCTAACTTAACACATCTGTCAGCAATATTCCAGCCATAACACCCAGCTTGTAAACAGTCAAGTCTGGACCAGACAAACCACTGACTGAAAGCATGAACAATGATCCATGCCAAGTGGCATGATGGCATGCGATCAGTCAAGTCACTGAGCCTGATTTGTTGGTTGTGGAAAGCCACACTCAGCAACAGCTATAGGATGCAGCCAGTGAATAATCCTGCCTGGATCAGACAATCCAGTGATTGATATTGTGAACACTGATCCACGCCATTGGGGTACAATGACACACTAAGTCAGCAAAGTCACCGAGCCTGACCACCCGATCTTCACATCACTGAGGTCTTCTGACCACCATGTCATACCGGGGTTTATTCCAGCCCAGAATGATGCCTGTTCCTGGGACACTGGCAACCTTGGATACAACCCTGCAATAATATGTGTTGTGATATGATATGAATGGGTTGGTATATTGAGGAAATATGTGAATAAGTTCTTTGGGATCAATAATTTAATAAATAAAAAAATTCCTGGTAGAGTTAATCGCAGACAAATTTTATTTCTAGTATGCACAGCTATTTGTCCCTGTATTAACACCCATTAGTAAGCATTACCATGGTTACAAAGGCAACCAAGCCTCTTAATTACGAGATTGTTCCCAACAAAAAGGGGAAAACCGATGTAGAACACTATTTTGATCTAAAAACTTAAGAGCACTTTGACAGTGGAAGAAAATATAGCAGTAAGTTAAGGGCTATATACTGCAATACATATCCCCGTACAGACCTAAGTATTACAGGACCCCCTCTGTGGTCTAATGGTAGAGCGTCTGCCCGGAGAGCGGAAGGTCCGGGGTTTGATCCCAAGCCGCGTCATACCAAAAGACATTAAAAGATGGTACTTGTTGTTACCCTATCTGGCGCTCGGCATTAAGGGGCTAAAACAAGGACTGGTCAGCTCGGAGTCAGTATACTGTGTCTGAGTGGGGTATTCATGTTAAACTGCGGCATGGTATCTCAGTGTGCTAGCACTATAAATCGGCATCAGTCCAGACAAGTACAAGCAGCCACACACACACATACACGTGCATGCACGTCGCTTGGACGCGACGTTAAACCCCATTTGACCGCACCTCACCTAAGTATCACAGTATTCTGCAATGCAAAAAAACAGGCAATGCACAACTCAATTTAAAATCCTACCTGGATTACAGAGATTTAATAGACACCCAATTAGTGTTTGAAAAATTCTCAGGCTGCCATCGTGAACCACAGACTTTAGACACTGCAAGCCCTGACTAAACTCTTCAGGCCCTCATTTAAAAAAACTGTAATTTATTGTGACAAATATATCGGCACATAAATTATCAGCAGACTTGAAGGACCCATACAACTACTGGCCCAACACAAGATCTCCCTGTCACAGGCCTACGGGCAGGCACTTATTTCGAACACTGCACCCAAGCAAAGTATAGTTAGTAATTGTAAGTCAATCAAAATAATGATTTATGTATGAATATACCCCTAGAAACTTGATTTTCACTTATGTGATCCATCTTGTATATACCTTTATCATTTTGTATCTGTACATGACCTCTCAATACAATACTTGTATCATAATCATGACAATGAACTGAACCGGGGGTGAATCTTTACACCCTAATAAACATAAGGATCACAGACAGAAGTGCTAATACTGCTAGACACAGAAAAATCTTCATCCAAGCTTCAAAGTAAGGAGGGAAACTCAAAACATAAATAATGAACACTATCGAACATGCTGAATACACATTATATTTAATACTTAAGTTACAGATGAATAATTTCTAAAGTTAAGTAGGTTATAGCTAACAGAACTGTCAAATCCTAATTTGTATTACATACATAGAAAAATATAGATCATTAACAGTCTCAGAATATTATCACATTGTAATTTGAAAACAGAGTAGTTGTGAGTGTCATTCTTTCAACATACAACACTCACACTTGCATACAGTAAGAAAATAAACTAGTAGTTTTCATTTTTATTACATTGCACATAAGCCTATGATAAGCTTTGTATTTGTAAGAATCAGGACCCCCATCAATACCCTCGAACAGGAAACCCTCATATTCACCATCAGGATCCCTCATACTCTCCATCAGGACCTCCAACTGGATCCCCTATTTCTCCATCAGGACCTCCAATAGGACCCCCAATACTCTCCATCAGGACCTCCAACAGGATCCCCCACACTCTCCATCAGGACCTCCAACAGGATCCCCGATAGTCTCCATCAGGACCTCCAACAGGACCCCCCATACTCTCCATCAGGACCTCCAACAGGATCCCCGATAGTCTCCATCAGGACCTCCAACAGGATCCACCATACTCTCCATCAGGACCCCATCTAGACCTTCCAACAGGATCCCCAATACTCTCCATCAGGACCCCATCAAGACCTTCCAACAGGATCCCCCATACTCTCCATCAGGACCTTCCATCAGGATCCCCCATACTCTCCATCAGGACCCCATCAAGACCTTTCAACAGGATCCCCCATACTCTTCATCAGGACCTCCAACAGGATCCCCCATACTCTCCATCAGGACCCCATCAAGACCTTCCAACAGGATCCCCCATACTCTCCATCAGGACCTTCCATCAGGATCCCCCATACTCTCCATCAGGGACCATCAAGACCTTCCAAAAGGATCCCCCATACTCTCCATCAGGACCTTCCAACAGGATCCCCCATACTCTCCATTAGGACCTCCAACAGGATCCCCCATACTCTCCATCAGGACCTTCCAAACGGATCCCCCATACTCTCCATAAGGACCTTCCATCAGGATCCCCAATACTCTCCATCAGGACCCCATCAAGACCTTCCAACAGGATCCCCCATACTCTCCATCAGGACCTTCCATCAGCATCCCCCATACTCTCCATCAGGACCCGATCAAGACCTTCCAACAGGATCCCCAATACTCTCCATCAGGACCTTCATACATTCCAACAGGCATGTAGTGAGTTCTCCTATTCAGGTGATATACCAGGTGACATCAGTGTAGAAAGACTGATAATCAGAAAGTCCTATGTTAACTGAGTATCCAAGAACATCATCCATCATAAATAGCAATGTGCCATTTGTAAGTGCCTATCCATAGGCATTTGTTCAAGTGACACATTCCTATTAATGATCCTCCAGGTGTTTCTAGACATGCATGCATAACAATGCTGTTTTACAAACATTCCACAGCAAAGCCGGTTAGTCGTCAAAATCTACCCTCAGTGACCACCTGACACTTTGTCGGCTATAACCACATCTAGAGTCTCACATCAAATGCCAACTAAATACCTAACCACCAAGCTGCTTGCGATCAAGTGTGATGTGCATGCAGTAACCAAATTAACAATGTTCATCAACAGTGAGCAATATATTTGCCAATCACTTGTCTTAATAGATTCTATGGAGGAAATTTGAAAATAAATGTCATTTATACAAAATTTATATCAAAATTAAAGCCCTCAAATGCTCTCAGCCTTGAAGACTACCATCATTGGATTCTTACTTGTCCTCAGTACAATTTAGCAGCCTTGGGCTTGTGAACTTGCATGAATTTCAAACTTTACTACAATTCTCAATTGAACATGTTGAAAGAAGTATTTTTACTGGTAAACATGGTTGATAATTCCCTCTGCGGAACAACAGTTGAAACCTTTCTGTCAGCACATACTGTTCTGAAAGATACAATTTAAACCTTCACAGATCACTTGATTAGCAGGTGAGCCTAGGTACGGAGAAGAGGTGTTGTGGCACTGGGTGCATTGCAGTGTACACTTGACTGTTTTCTCAAAAGAACCTTGCCATCAGTGACCCATTCAGTAACACTGTTCCCCTGTCCCAGCCCACATCACACTGCTGGAGCTCTTGTCCATCATGACAGACATGTGACAGTGAATCTTGGCCAGGCCATCAATGACCCATTCAGTAACACTGTTCCCCTGTCCCAGCCACACATCACACTGCTGGTCTTCTTGTCCTTGTCCACAGACGTGTGACCTGAATCTTAACCAATCCACAGGAACTCAGGTGACCTTCTACCCTGACACAGATGCAGCACCTCAAGGACACCTCAAGGTCACCTCAACTCTCTGCTTGTCTGACCAGTACTTGACCTGAGACCATCGCTCACTTGACCATCACTTGTCAATTTCAAAGACCTGATCCATACCAGGCTTGAACATCATAGAGGTGCAAGTTGATCTCTTCTTCTGATGAAGCATTGTGTCTCACATTGACAATAGCTGCTCGTCTCTTTGTATTGCATGGCTCTCTCTGTGTATGACGCCATGCGCTATGACATCGGCCTCAGGTAGTTGGCTGGTGCATAACCACGCTTACCATCTGCATCAACCAACCACCACTCGGTGTTACCCTCTTTGTCAGCTTTGGCTATCACAGTGACCACTTGACCCTCAAACATGGACACTTCACTTGCACCACGGGACTGGAAGGCAAACTCTGCATAGTAATACTGCAACAGACAAGAACAGGACAGAGTTACTGGGGTGTGACATTCCCTGAACCTGGCATGTATAAGCTGGTATCCATAGCGTTTGATTTAAAGATCTGCTTTCATAAAATGTGTTAAACATGCAGAAAACCCTGAGAAAAATGACTGTTGTTAATGGGGTTTTACGAGACGAGGTGAGGTGAAATGGGGTTTAACGTCGCATCCAAGATTATTGCACTTATATAGTGACGTGCATGCACGTGTGTGTGTGGCTGCTTGTACTAGTCCTGACTGATGCCGATTTATAGTGCTAGCTCACTGAGATACCATGCCACAGTTTAACATGAATACCCCACTCAGACACAGTATTCTGACTCCGAGCTGACCAGTCCTTGTTTTAGCCACTTAATGCCTAGCGCCAGACAGGGTAACAACAAGTACCATCTTTTAACGTCTTTTGGTATGACGCGGTCAGGGATCGAACCCCGGACCTTCCGCTCTCCAGGCGGAGGGTTTTACAAGCCTATGACAGGGACTAAGACTGGTAACTCATCATTCTTTTATTTTCTGATGGGAACCTATTCAGGCTGTTTGTTTGTTTGTTTGTTTGTTGTTTAATGCTGCACTCAGTATTACCTCACCTACATGATCAAGGTCAGTAAATTCAGTGATTGATATCATGATAACATTCCAGGTCGTCAGGGTATGATGACACACTTCAACCATGTCACTAAGATAGAACACCTGATCTATAAAGTTGCCTCTTACGACCACCATAGGTTGCTAAGGCCCTATTCCAACCCCGAATCCCCATGTGGAATCTATTTGGCACTAAATAGGGGTATCACTCTTTGTGATATTGTCCTCTTTACCTGCTCAGGTGATGCCTCGGGGACTGGTTCTGGGGTAAGACTGGGGTAGACTGATGCCTGACTAGCAGTGGACGACAGAGAGATGATGTCAGACATGGTGTCGTTACCGAGGCCCTCCAGGCCCTCCTCCATCATCAGACTGTTGAGACTACCTGAGGGGGAGGAACCTGCACCACCCACTCCTCCCGCTGCTACTTCACCTGCCCAGGGAGACAGGATCTTCTTTGGTACAAAACCTTTTTGCACTGTAATCGAGAAAAAGTACATGTATATTTTCGCCTCAGAAAATCAACAGAAGGCATATATATATTATGCCGTCAGACAATCCTTGATGCAAACTAACTGTCATCACATAAATTTACTGATAACTCAAAAATAATACTGTTTACAGGGAATGAAAACAACAAGATATATTTCTATAAATAACGTAAGGAACCCAGTCAGAATGTTTACTTCTGTTGTTCTAAAAATCTCACTGACCTCCATCATCAACAAACCACTTGTCCTTGTTGCCCATGGGGTCCTGGACCTTGATGACCCCCACCATGACCCCTTCATTCAAGGACAAGTCCATGAGGTCGAGGGCAGCATATGTGTAGCCGACACGATGGAGCTTGGCTTCAGGGTAGATTTGACGGAGATACACACGCTGGCTGTCACTCTGGGGGCTGCTGGATCCGGCTGCAGGCTGCCAACACAACAAACTCTTTCAACACCGAATTCCTCTACTTCCTACAATCTACAACACAACAAACTCTTTCAACACTGAATTCCTCTACTTCCTACAATCAACAACACAACAAACTCTTTCAACACTGAATTCCTCTACTTCCTACAATCTACAACACAACAAACTCTTTCCACACCGAATTCCTCTACTTCCTACAATCTACAACACAACAAACTCTTTCCACACCGAATTCCTCTACTTCCTACAATCTACAACACAACAAACTCTTTCCACACCGAATTCCTCTACTTCCTACAATCTACAACACAACAAACTCTTTCAACACTGAATTCCTCTACTTCCTACAATCAACAACACAACAAACTCTTTCAACACCGAATTCCTCTACTTTCTACAATCTACAACACAACAAACGCTTTCAACACCGAATTCCTCTACTTCCTACAATCTACAACACAACAAACTCTTTCCACACCGAATTCCTCTACTTCCTACAATCTACAACACAACAAACTCTTTCAACACCGAATTCCTCTATTTCCTACAATCTACAACACAACAAACTCTTTCAACACCGAACTAGAAAGTGTTTTTACTCGTAAAAACATATGTCTCCCCCCACTCCCCTAACCCCCATTCATTCGTTTACTTCACGTTATATTAAACGGTTTCTGAGTTATGGTCAGGAAACAAAGCTTACCCCCATTCAGAGCCTATGTTCAACTTATCTCCATGGAAACGAGAAAAAATAAAAATGTAAAAAATCTCTAAATAGCAAAAGGCACCACTTCAGTGCTGGGTTAATGTGTATACAAAGTTTCGCGAAAAAATATTAAACGGTTTCTGAGTTATGGTCAGGAAACAAAGCTTACCCCCATTCAGAGCCTATGTTCAACTTATCTCCATGGAAACGAGAAAAAATAAATATGTCAAAAATCTCTAAATAGCAAAAGGCACCACTTCAGTGCTGGGTTAATGTGTATACAAAGTTTCGCGAAAAAATATTAAACGGTTTCTGAGTTATGGTCAGGAAACAAAGCTTACCCCCATTCAGAGCCTATGTTCAACTTATCTCCATGGAAACGAGAAAAAATAAAAATGTAAAAAATCTCTAAATAGCAAAAGGCACCACTTCAGTGCTGGGTCAATGTGTATACAAAGTTTCGCGAAAAAATATTAAACGGTTTCTGAGTTATGGTCCGGAAACGGTGGGAACGCCGACGCCGACGCCGACGGGAACCGTGCCAAAAACAATATGTCTCCCTCCATTCAGGGGGAGACATAATTCCTCTACTTCCTACAATCTACAACACAACAAACTCTTTCAACACCGAATTCCTCTACTTCCTACAATCTACAACACAACAAACTCTTTCAACACCGAATTCCTCTACTTCCTACAATCTACAACACAACAAACTCTTTCAACACTGAATTCCTCTATTTCCTACAATCTACAACACAACAAACTCTTTCCACACCGAATTCCTCTACTTCCTACAATCTACAACACAACAAACTCTTTCAACACCGAATTCCTCTACTTCCTACAATCTACAACACAACAAACTCTTTCAACACCGAATTCCTCTATTTCCTACAATCTACAACACAACAAACTCTTTCAACACTGAATTCCTCTATTTCCTACAATCTACAACACAACAAACTCTTTCAACACCGAATTCCTCTACTTCCTACAATCTACAACACAACAAACTCCTTCAACACCGAATTCCTCTACTTCCTACAATCTACAACACAACAAACTCTTTCCACGCCGAATTCCTCTACTTCCTACAATCTACAACACAACAAACTCTTTCAACACCGAATTCCTCTACTTCCTACAATCTACAACACAACAAACTCTTTCAACACCGAATTCCTCTATTTCCTACAATCTACAACACAAAAGAAGACCTGCCATTGCCTGGCCAATAATTTCCTCCAATGCTGCATCATAAACAAAGACCAACTACCGGTATTGGCCAGCCTGCACTGCCCTTGTCAACTATTTCCTTCAATCTAATAGCACAAAGGAAGACCTACCACTGTCCATCCAGCACTGGTCAACTATTTCCAACAATCCAATAGCACAAAGGAAGACCTACCACTGTCCATCCAGCACTGGTCAACTACTTCCAACAATCCAAAAGCACAAAGGAAGACCTGCCATTGTCCATCAAGCACTGGTCCACTATTTCCACCAATCCAAAAGCACAAATGAGAACCTACCACTGTCTGGAAGGCACTACCCTTGTCGACTATTTCCTACAATCCAATAACACAAAGGAAGACCTACCACTGTCCGGCCAGCACTGCCCTGGTCAACTGACATCCTCTTCTGTTTCTTGTCCAGCTTCAGTGATTCCATTTTGGGATTGAACCCCCGAGGGATGAACATGAGAGCGGAGACCTTGTCTAGAGCTGTGGTGTGGTTCATGTTGAATGTCTCTATCACACCAGCATCAGAACTCAACAGCAGGGGCAACTGAAATCACCAATAACATGCTCTGGATAAAGCAATCCTTTAAATGGTGACTATTTTTGTTACAGGAGGATTTAACCCTAACACTAACCCTAACCCCTAACATTAAAAAAAATAAATGTTGTGCCCATGCATATCATTCGAGACAAAATACGCAAAAATATAGGATAATGACATATTTTTGGTGTTTGTTTGTGAGTAGGGTTTTAATCTTCATCACCCAGTAATCCAGCAGGGGTCAACAAAGACAGATCTTACATATTGTATCCATGGGGAATCAAACTGGATACAGGTGCTGATGAGCTAACACTTTAAACACTACCTATGTGCCACCCCATGTTTGTTGTTGTTTAACGTCGCACTCAGCAATTTTCCAGTTTTATAACAGTCAGTCTGTAGATAATCATGTCTGGGCTAGACAATCAAGTGATTAACATCATGAGCAATTGAGATATGGTGACATGCAGTCAACCAAGTCACTGAGGCTGACCACCTAGCTGCTGGGAACCAGTATTCTTACTCAGAATCCCCAGATCTCTGCCGATGTCATCTGTGGACCACATTATTATGTATTTGGCTTAATTGCCCACCTGCACAAGTGTGTATGTTGCTTTGAGAGTCTGATCTGTAAAGGTCTTCTGAGCCTTGGTGAAAGCCCCCATACAGTCTGTGAGCATCTGGAACGCCAGACCAAACAGTTTGGGCAGCTCGTCCAGGAGCTGAGCGTTCATAGCCTCGTAGTCATTCTTGGCTGTCTGCAGGGCATCATTCTAAACAGACACAACAACACAACATGTACAGTCAGTGGTACTGTCCTCACGGGAAAAGTTTTTTTAACTAAAGATTTTTTAAAAACAAGACAGATAATATAATCACAAATACTAAAATATCGTTGATAGCAATAGTTATTTGAATACTTTTTTCATCTGTACTTAATTATTGACCATAAAAAAATGATATCGATCGTCACAGAAAGCAAAATGGCGGTCAATCAAGATTCAATATACGACTAGCTACTATAACAATAAAATCTGCCAATCCTCATTGTATGTCAACCAAGTGAAAGTCGTTAGCCACGACTTACAAATGATCGTCCAAACTTTGAGGGTTTGGCAGATCCGCTCGACTGATCTGCATCGGTCGACTGGCTGTCGTCACGCTTTCGCTTCTTGTCTGAGGTTACGTATCGTAGCATTGTGAGGATAATGAGGTAATGCAAGGTATTTATGTACAGTTGTAAACACCTTTCTCTCAAATTAACAAGATGTTCTCAGTAATTAATCCTCGATTAATCAGTGTCAACTCAGTTTATTACCTATTACAGTGATTGACTGCTTGGACTATCATGTAGGTACGATGTATTTACAGCAATCATAACAAACAAAGCTTGTCAGTGTAGATAATCTTCATTGTGTTACAACTGCAGACAGAAACTGCTCAGTCCTAACTGTTGATCATGTCCGGTCAAAATTTAAGAATGTCCGGACAGAAAAATTTAAATGTCCGGTAAGCAATATTTTAAACCGGACATTTGAGATTCCCAATCGGACATGTCTGGCGCATATGACGGTTTCCGGACCCCTGGTCACTACACACAAACAGTTTTCCACCCAAATAAAATAAATGACTTCTAATCTTTATATCTGACATGGTTGATAATTAAATAACCTCTGGTTTCAGATGAGCACATTTCTGCAGATTCACTGTGGAACATTGACAATGATTATCCATATGGTCTAAACTGAACAAGTCAATCAAAATCCATACAAACACATGTGTAATAATGATTTCATGTGCTCTATACCACTGTTGACATAATGCACTCATTGATGTCACCACTGACGTCATGAAGACATTGTTAACATCTCAACAAAGTTTTCAATACTCAGCTAATCCTGCAGAAAGTCCTGAACAAGGTCAACTTGAAAAGAAATTATACACATCTCTCATGCTGAAAATATTCATCTTTTGATCTGATTCACCAACACAACACATAAATAGAGGTTATTACCTGAGCGTGTTTCCATAGAGTAAATATCATACATTATGAATGAAAATACATACTTTTAATATACTTATGATATGGAATCACACAAGGGTAATAATCTCTTAATCATAAAATGTCATTCTTATACTAATGGATTTTTAAGATTAAGATGGATTTTTTAATTTCACTCGAAAAAGGAGCTTTGGAAACTGTGTATGCACACAATGAGTTAATCACCCAATTCAACATATAGTGCCCAATGATTTGCAGCGATATGTTTGTACAGAAACAGGGTGACATTGGGAAACCCCAATCTAAGCAGCTTAAGTCCACGCCTTATGGAGAAAGGAGGCACTGCTTCAATGCATGGATCTTGAAAGTAGTTCCTGCTGGCCGACCTCATTTGCATGTTGATCGGATCCTGGTGCCAAGTTTATTGGATTAGTTTCACAATGATAGCACAAACCTTTATATGATAAACTTGTGGACATAACGTCCCAAACAGTAATTCCCACTTCATCATGACTCATACATCTGCCACGGCTACCCATACCTTCTCGTTGTCCTTCGCCTTCCTGAACTGACTGTCGTAGTCCAACATCTTGTCAAACCTCTTCTCTATAACATTGCTGGGTCCATCAAACATCTGTATGAGTTGACTCAGTGGGACGAGGACTTGTTCCTCCACAGTGCATCTCTGTGTAGCATAAAGTAGGCTGATCAATAGCATTGTCTTGAGATAAGATTTTCTTTCAAGAGGGGTGCACTGCACATTTAGGTGAAAGAAGAATAGGCTAAGAGAATGAATCCTTGTGAACTTGTCCTTTAATCGTTATTTATCATGTATACTTAGAAAAGAACAAGCAAGCTCAAAGGTTCACATGACACTGTAATGTCAGAACGGCTAACATCACATTCCACAACCTGCTCTGACATTTCCATAGATTTAAAATACAAGTTTGATGCATTAATCTTGTAAAAAGATTTCTGATATTGTTTGTTATTTTTCACTGCAGCAATACTCCAGCTATATCACAGCATCTGTCGGTAATCTAGTCTGGGCCAGGCAAACAAGTGGTTGATAACATGAACACATTCAGCCAAGCCACAGAGTCGGACACCCATTATAGTTGGCTCTAATGATAAACATCAAGATGCGCATCTTCCTTTATCTGTTGCTTCAGTTAATAAAGTTTTGTTGTTCAAAGTAAAGTTTTCTTTCTTTCTCTAATTCAGCAGGACAAGTTGAAAATTTAAGTTTACTTGCCTTTGATATTTGAACACGCCTGTACTGCAGATCTATATTCTGTCTCTGATTTCCCCACAGGGATATAGTAACTTAGCCTACAACAGCCCATTTGTTAAAAGACTACTGTGAGCGGAAAATCAGTGGTGAGATCCCCGGCCATGTCATACCAAAACACATCAAAAGATGGTACTTGTTGTTTCCCTTCCCTGCAACATGGTATCTCAGTGGGCTAGCAATATAAAACCAGCACTGTCCCAGACTAGCACAAGCACGTGCCCACACATACACACCCTGACCCTCGCCCGCTACAACACACACCTCATCTCAGAATGAAACATCTAATGATCTCTACTCACAAATGTGTGCAGCAGTGGTCCAACAATCTTGCACTGGACTTCCTTGTACATCTTGACCTCCTCTGAGGGTTGTCCATCATACAGGTCAACAATGTCCGCTACCAGACTCTCCTCTGCCCCGACACACTCCTGGTCAACAACAACATGTATAAACATGTACAGTGAATAACACTCAATCTGTGTGTGTGTGTATGTGTGTATGTGTGTGTGTGTGTGTGTGTGGTGTGTGTGTATGATGTGTTGAGAGAGGATCATGAAAATATTTACAAGGACACGGGGGGTCATCCAAAATATAACAAGTATTTGTCACAGAGTGACGAAATATCCCCCGCCTGTACACCATAGTACCAAATATGAAGACAATCCAGGGATTAGTTCTTGAGATATTGTGGCAACACCGTTTTCCAACTCCAAAAACAGATTTGCCTGCTGTGACCTTGAAAATGGGGTCAAGGTCACCAAATCTGACAGGTGTATGCGGTGTCTGTATATACACTATAGTTCCAAATATGAAGACAATCCAGCGATTAGTTCTTGAGATATCGCGGCAACACCGTTTTCTAACTCCAAAAGCAGATTTGCCTGCTGTGACCTTGACAATGGGGTCAAGGTCACCAAAACCGACTGGTGTCTGCGGTGTCTGTATATACACCATAGTTCCAAATATGAAGACAATCCAGTGTTTAGTTCTTGAGATATCGCGGCAACACCGTTTTCCAACTCCAAAAGCAGATTTGCCTGCTGTGACCTTTAAAATGGGATCAAGGTCACCAAAACCGACTGGTGTCTGCGGAGTCTGTATAGACACCATAGTTCCAAATATGAAGACAATCCAGTGTTTAGTTCTTGAGATATCGCGGCAACACCGTTTTCCAACTCTAAAAGCAGATTTGTCTGCTGTGACCTTGAAAATGGGATCAAGGTCACCAAAACCGACTGGTGTCTGCAGAGTCTGTATATACACCATAGTTCCAAATATGAAGACAATCCAGTGTTTAGTTCTTGAGATATCGCGGCAACAAACAGGTGGGACGTACGGACGGACGGACGTACGGATGTACGGACGTACGGACGGTCGTGAATACTATATCCCCCGCTTCGCGCTTTCGCGCGGCGGGGGATAACAAGCATTAGGAAGGGTCATTATTTTTTGTACATTCGAGCATAAAAAAACCTTCTGCTGGCCTTTATTGCTGACTCTGGCAAAAAACAAAATTCACTCATTATTTCTCAGCATCATGTGAAACACGGCTAGAATACCCACCTGCATGTGGTCCATGTACATGGAGACATTCTTCTGGAAGACTCTCACAGCCTTCTCTATGTGTCGGAACCGCACTTCCTCCCGCTCAAAGTTCTCGTCTCGGGTCTGTTCAAATATGAATAAGCATTCAGGAAAAAGGCTACACAGATGCCACTGTCACTGAACACAGATTCAGTCAAACTCAAATTTCATAGCATGCATTGTTGACCTAAATGACAGTCTCTCACTTCAGCCACAAGTCCACATCCCAAATCAGGTAAAATTCTGTTCATTTAAGTTCATGCAGGTCAATTGCTGTGTTCTATCAGGACAATCAGTGGAAGATTCATGCCCCCTGCCACACCAATGTTGTGCTGAGTACTTGAGATGTGTCCTCCCACCCCCCACCACCCATGTGTGCCCCCTCCGCCTACCTGCAGCCCTAGTCCCAGGTTTGTGGACAGTCGGCCCCGCATCCTGCTGGACTTCTTCCTGATGGAGTGGAAGTTGAACTTGGCGATCTTCTCACTGAACCGCTGGTCACTATCCTTCTTGTATTTGAACACTGCACAAACAATGTCATCACATTATCATCAATCTGAATACTTAACACTGTCATTCAAAATGGTTAAGACATGAAAAACAAGAAAAGAATCTTTGAGCAAAAGCAACTTCCAGGTAAGTACAGGTTAAGAGTCGATCTGGGATATGGGCCTACACCCTAAGTCAACTCTTCAAATCACTACCCAAATGATATACTTTGGGAACTCATGCTGAGAGAGATGTACATCACACTTTTCATCGACATCTTGAATCCAAGCTACTAGCAAAGGCAGCTTGCATAACTTTATCAAGGAGTACAATAACATACATGATATATCAGGCGATAGGTGTGTGACAGAAAGTTGCTTAACAGGCCAGTCAGCAATCTCCAGCTATAACGTGGCAGTCCTTATAAACCTACCATTGTTTTGACGTTACTTGCTTCTTTGCAATAACCTCTAATATTAGAGTCTTAGGAGGGTTTACATTTCCTTAGTAAGACCTACTCTTGGGTAGGAGGTTTTACTTTTTCCTAGTAAGACCTGGCGAGTAACACAAAAAATTTCATTATGGATAAAGGGAATTGAACCATAACCTCTCGATCAGTAGTCAGACACTCTAACCATTAGACCATGGAACTAATTGAAGACAGGTGGTTGATTAAAAGGCACCATGTTTAGCGTATATTTCTCTGCCATATTTTACAAGCATTTCCTGTCATAACACACTTTTATACATAATATTAAACAAATATTGATAAATGTTTTGACTGTTCAGAAGTCGGATGGAACACTCTTCCTCAGTTTTGGTTGTCATAGCAAAACCTTCTGGCAGCAGTGGGGGGCACAGTCGTCTAAGGCACCGCGATTCGCTGTGGAGAGTTGCGTCCCTTTGGCATGCCACAAACCTATGATAGTGGGTTCGAATCCCGGTTCGCCCCGATTATGTTTCTGGGTATGTCAGCACCATACCTGTGCTCGTGGGTTTCACCGAACTGGTAAACGTCCGAGACCTGCATCACTTCGGGCTTTCCGCCCACATTAAGCTGAACACAGCGATATAACTGGAATACTGTTAAAAGCTGTGTTACACCCAACTCACCCACTCTGGGGAGTAAAACTTGGGGGTAACGCCTTCAGTTTTATTCAGCCACTGCTTTCCTCACATTTGTCAACCAAAACCTCGGAATTGTGATTTATCCCTCATGTAAATAGTTTTTGTTTCGTTTTTGTTGTTTAACGACACACTCAGCAATATTCAAGAAATATGATGGCGGTCTGTAAATAATGGAGTCTGGACCAGACAATCCAGTGATTGATATCATGAGCATTGATTCATGCAATTGGGATACGCTGACATGCATCAACCAAGTATAATAGAGCTTGGACCAGGACGACTAGTTGCTGTAACTCCATGATCCAAGCAATCAGGACACAATGGCACACCCACACAAATCATAAACACCTGTTTATTAGAAATCATCCCTGACATTTTCTTACAGTTTCAGCAAGAATGGAGTACTAGGGACATGGGTCATCTCTTGTTAGTCATTATCATCACCCTACCTAAGTCTTTCCTCCGCTTGTACTCATTGATAGCAGTAGCCACGTCAGTCATGGCATGGATGGCTTTAACAATCTCCTGTTTGTCTTTGTGATCATCCTCTGTTGACTGAAATATGCAAATGTTCATTTCATAACCTTATATTTCTTAGCATCATGTTATTCAAAACCACACCACACACAGCAGTTTTCCAGCTCTATGATGGCAATATATGTATAATCAAGTATGGACCAGACAATCCAGTGACTGACATCATGAGCATCACACTCCACCATTGGGATACGATGACATGCATCAGCAAGTCAGGGAGCCTGACCACCCGATCAGGTTAGTCAACTCTTACGACAAGCATAGGTTGCAGAAGAAGAATTCTAACCTGGATCTTCACAGGGACTCCTGTTTGTAAACTCTATGACAAGCAAAGGTACTGGGAACCTTATCTGCAGTGGAATCCCCATCTTGTAATAAAAGCAGCCGAGAAACACGTGGAATAAAACCCTACTCACCTTGAAGAGTTCGTTCAGCAGTAGCGGGTATTTGAGTATTCTCTGTATGGGTTTGATGAGCAAGGACTCAAGGTCAAAGACATTGGTCTGTTCTCTCAGCTTGGTGATCATACGCCCAAAATACTCCTTCACCTCTACGTTATCTGTGTACTGGAAAAACAATACAAACACTTCAATAATTACAGCCAGTATATAAAGTCTGGACCAGACAATTCAGTGGTTGATATTGCAAACATGAGCACATAATCTGGTCACAGAGACACATTACCAAGTCACTGAATTTGACTATCTGACTAACTTAGAATCCTCCAGAATATGTACAATGCACTTGTTAGGAGAGATTTACTAAAACATTCATCATTGATTGTACCACATATATAACAGTGAACCATATGCCTGTCTATGGGCCGATGACCACCATCTTGAAGGAAAAAAAGAAGACAAAAAGACTATGACAGGCCCCTCGCATACGTAATTGGGGATCAATCTAAACCAGAATCCCTGCAGGTCATTCATTACCATGTACTCAATTTGTTACAGTGTAAGACCCACCTTCTCCATGAGTGTGATGACTGTATCATGGTTCCGGCAGTACGGGGCGTACGTGTTCTTCATGTCCTCAGAGAAATGCACAAAGTTGGGGCCTGAAACAATTCACGTTATTTAATGACATTGAAGATTATCACAGTGTCTTATACGTTGTGAATGGTTAATGTTTTCTGATCAAAAACAGACAAGCTCATGTGAACAATAGTGGACACTTGTTTGTTCTACTTTTGAACAGAAATGCTTGTCAGATATCGAGGGATGATAAAAAACACTGAAAGTTATCTGGGGGTCTGAGGGGCTATATGATTTAATGGCACGTAATTGTTATGGCATGTGTCACAAATGACCAGGTACTGACAACTGGACTGCATGATCATGTACTGAAATTAATCTTGACAAACTTCAATCCCAAATATATATAAAATATATGACTTTACCATTTGTCAAAAAGCCTCAGGCTAGCAGCCTATTGTTAACCAAATATATTGGTCACCTATTATCTGCTCCTCAAATGTCTTCCCGTTGATGCAGCCTTCCAGCATGGTGAGGAAACTCTGCGAGACGTCCGCTATCTCCTCGATGTTGCCGAACACCACCTCCATGTCCACACCAGGAACCTGCTACAGTAATCAGTCTGTCTCACACAGCAGTCACCAATATCACAGCCATTCCAAGCTTGACAAGACAAACCACTGACTGACCGTATGAGCAACGATCAACATCATTGTGTATGATGACACACACTCTAATGGTTCACACAATGCAACCACATAATCCATTTCAAGTCAAATGAAGTGGATTAGTGGAGCTGTTTCGTGACAGATATAGGGTCAATTGTGCACTTTGTGATAAAAGCATGAAATGGCACAGTTATAGGTAATGACATTCCAAATATTTTCAGATATTGTGCCAGAAATTTCGTAGAACTTATTTAGTGTTTCTATAGCAGCATATAAGCTTTCCTCTTTACCATTCCAAAATAATTTTGTATCACCCACATACTGCCCAAGTTAGTGTTTTTTGTTATTAACAATGATCCCCTTAATTTTTTTATTATTTCTAATCATACACCCTAGGACTTCAGCTACTAGGAGGAAAACATATGGCCTCAGTGGGTCTCCTTGTCAACAGCCTCTCTCATCTGGAAAACATTCCGATAGATGTCCATTTTGTATTATGTTTCATGTTGTATCATAAGTCAGGACTGGGTATATTTATCATTACTGGCCCAAATCTATATTTTTGTAAAACTTTGTTTATAAATTATTTTGAAACTGTATCAAATGCGTTTTCAAAATCTATCAGCAGAAGTAATCCTGGTTCATGTTGCCATTTTGATTCAAAGATAATGTTGTATAACAACCTTGTGTTTTCTGAAATTGACCTTCGTCAAATAAAACTAGTTTGATTATGAAGGAGCAATTCCAATGTTGACTTTATACGGTACTAATTATTTATAGAGTGCATTCAAAAAAAGTTATTGGACTCCAGTTTTCTCTCTGTGTTCTGTTTTTATTTGCTATAGGTTTACAAATTTATAACTCCTCTTTTCATTGTCATACTCATTTTGTTATTAGCAGAAATACTATTTTCAAACCTGTATATCCAGACTTTTAGTTCTTTCCAGAAAAAAATATTCAAAAGAATCCTATAAGTCTAACAGAAGCAATGTGACTTAAGCATCAACCTATCAGCAGCTTTAGCACAACAGAGCAGTGGTAACAAACTTATGACAATATTTCATCATTAGTTTGCAACTCAAATGATTCATCTATATGAACAGATACAAAAACAATTTCTGCCTAATTCCTGGCCCTTCACTGTACCTTCTCAGCAGCTGGACCCAGGAAGGTGTCGATGCACAGATGGAGGTCGCGCAGGTAGTCCTTCTCCGTAGCCAACAATTCCGCGATTACATTCTCTCTCTTCTCCCTCCGCTTCTGTTTCTGCTCCTCCTGCTTCTTCTTGTCTTCCTCCATCTTCCTCTTGGCTTCCTCTCGCCGGCGCTGTGCTTCTTGTTCTGCCTGGTACTGACGTAGCTCAGCTGGGCAGAGCTGGTGAAGGTTCTCTGTGGAAGAAAGGACAGGAACATGCACACAGACGATTTAATCAACTCCTGCAGGACAATCTTACAGCATGGCTGATACTAGTTAAGTTTACCAAGTCAACATCAGTAACTTGTAGGGATGCAGATTATTATGACTACAGTGTTGTAGCCTGCATAGACTGAAGTTAATTAAACGATGTTGGTTTATTTATATTATTGGTAGGGTTTATTTTGTGTCCAGTACATTTATCAGTGTTATCAGGATATCTGCTGACCCTTTGTCTGCAGTGTCTCCATCAGCTGGTCTGGCTAGATGCAGTGAGACTGGAGAAAGAATAATTTGAGTGACATAGTCTTCCAGAGCTTCTTGGAACCTACTCTGTCATTTCACGATTTTGGAGAAAAAACTATTCTGCTCTGCAATACCCTGGGGAACTATTCAAGTAGTGAATGTTCTGGGAAACTCTTGTCATTGAATGTTCTGGGAAACCATTCTGCTCTGGAATACCCATGGAAAACTCTTTGTCATTGAATGTTGTGGGAAGTTATTCTACTCTGAAATGATCTGGTGAACTCTTTGTCATTGAATGTTAAGGGAATCTATTCTGTTATGGAATGCCCTGTGAAAGTCTTTGTAGTTGAATATTCTGGGAAACAATTCTGCTCCGGAATGCGGAATCTATTCTGTTCTGAAATGCCCTGCAATCGGTTAACCTGAGGGGTTTATTAGCACATTAAATATTGTAGATACATAAATCATTGATGTGAGAGTGTGAGCTGAACATACGTCTGAGATTGGTGAGTTCCTCTGTGAGGCCCTGCACATTTGCTCGCTGGTCATCTAGAGTCTCTAGGATCTCCTCTCTCCCCTCCTCCCCCACCTGCTGCAGCATCAACGTCAGCTCCCCGCACGACTTCTCATAGCTCTGAAACAAGGACAGTCAGATGATGGATTCAACACCTTTACATACAAGCAGATGTCACAAGTATGGACCTGTGCAATACACTGGCAGCAAAGAAATATCTACTCTAGGAATCAAAATACAAATAACTGGTCTCATGGAAAACCTAGACGATAACCTGGATAGTGGTATGGATGGTATCTATTACCAACATAAAAATTCTGGATCTGAATCTGGTCTAATGTGAAATTGCTAAAAACAAACATCATTATGATGATAATATATTTTAGGCTTAAAAAGTAAAAGAATTGGTTCTCAGGCAATGACTTTTGAAAATATAGTGCGGGTGAGCGCAAATAAACCAAATAAACAGTTGTGTACCATCAACCTGGGAAAGGGCCTCCCTACATAGACAAGTATACAAACTCCTATTGCCACCATGACCATGACGTGAGATGCACAGTAAAGGGAAGTAACTGTGTAACTTAGGATTTTTATATTTTTGGGGAAAATGGAAATAAAAACGAAACATGCGGCTGACTTTATGATGTTGCGGGCGGTGCCTGAGAACCAAGACTATTATTTTTTTTAGCCTCATCAAAATATTTAGAACTGGTACAAGATTTTTTTCATACATGTAATTATGAAATAGAGTGGGCCCTTGTCATAACCCTAATGTTACACATGAAGATTAAGGAGGTTCCTAGGTTCTGATATTATGGCAGCAAACAGTAAGGACCCCAAATACCAATTCCCAACACTACTATTGTCTAACACACTGGGGCATGGGGCTAGATGTTGAATGCACCTTTTCACCTCAAAACCATATATATATAACTGAACAAGAGACAGGAAGCATATGTTACTTCACACCCATTATTAATAGAGCAGTGTAATGGTACAACACATCTACTGTATGTTCTCCAAGCCAATGCTGTGCTGTATGCTGTGTGAGATACATGGACTCCTTGTATAGTATTACCAGGTCTTAATTGATGATAATATTGTGTCTTGTACACATCAAAGTGGGATGTCCCATTGGAAGCAAAGAGAGTCTGAATATTTGAATGACGGAAACTATTTACATTGAAGCATGTATTTCAGATTTAGCTGATATTTCTGTTCTGAAATACAATCAAGGCTCAGACAGTCCATGTCAGATTTGGAGTTTTGATGGAAACAAGGAAATCCCCATCCATAACAAACTTTTGGAAGTACATACACCTTGTATTTAATCTGCTGTTGGTACAGTGGTCACACTGGTCACACAAGTTTAATGTGTGTGTGTGTGTTATTGTTTAATGTGTGATAGTGTGTGTTTAACATGTGTTAGTGTGTGTTTAATGTGTCTAAGTATGTGTTTAATGTGTCTAAGTATGTGTTATTGTTTAATGTGTGTTAGTTGTGCTTCACTTGTGTTAGTGTATGTTTAATGTGTGTGTGTGTGTTTAATGTGTGTGTGTGTGTGTGTGCTTAATGTGTGTTAGTGTGTGTGTTAAATGTGTGTGTGTGTGTGTTTAACATGTTTAAAGTGTGTTAGTGTGAGTGTTTAATGTGTGTCAGTGTGTGTTTAATATGTTTTGGAGTGTCAGTGTGTGTTAGTGTGTGTATTTCAAGTGTGTTAGTGTGTGTTATTGTTAGTGTGTGTAAGTGTGTGTGCATGCGTGCGTGCGTGTTGCTTAACACCGCAATAAGCAATATTCCAGCTACAGTCGAACTTTGTGTCGAACTTGGATGTGTTGAATTTCTGGTTGTCTCAAACTCAGTTGGGTGTCGTAAGTTTACAAATTAAGCAAAAAATTCATGAAACCAGATCCTAGTGATCATTTTTGTCGTATGAAAGAGATTCACATTAACATGGTCTCAACATGCTCAAGGGCTTTCTATAGGGTTGGTGTATTGGCAAAAATATCGTATTGCAATATATGAGACCGCTACATATTGCATTACGTATTGGAGCCCATATCATATATATTATTATATTTGTACAGTTTAAATGGTACTTCTTCATTCAATAATCCAGACTTCAGATTGCGAGATGTGTAGTATGGATAAACGAGACTACCTATTACGTCATCAATATGAAATGTTAATGCAAACAGAGCGAAGCGTGTGCTGGTTACATGGTTTAGCAAGAATATCAGTCCATCCAAATGCCTCAAGATAGTAGATACATATAATTAACATAATTATAAATAAATTCTTTGGTGACTGTATCAGAAAATATTGCTACGTGAGGGTTGTACAGCAATACGTGTATTGCTGACAGCCGTATTGCAATATACGGGTATATCAGTTATATTGCACACTCCCAAGTTTTAAATTCAAGAAGTAAGCTTGACCTTTAATCAGATGCAAGTCGAAATGCATAGTTGAGTGTTGTTACAATATTCAACAATATTCCAGCTACGAGGGTCTGCAAAGAATCGGATCTGGATCAGACAATGATGTGACAGACGTCATGAGAATCGATCTACGCAATTGGGATACCATTACATGCATTGACCAAGCCAGCGAGCCTGACCACCTGATCCTGTTAGTTGCCTCTTATGACAAGCATGGGTTGCTGAAGACCAATTCTATCATAGATCTTCACAAATAAAGGAGTGTTGGACTGTATGTTGTTTGCTATTGAGATTACAACACAAGAATACATTCTAGAGGAATGATTCATTATTTATTTATTACTCACATTTTTCTCAACATATATTGCTTAATGAAAAGATAAATGGGAACTTGAGAGACCTACAAATTATAAATAATCTATTTGAGATTCTTTGCGGTAGCTAATATGCCAGCACTCATCCCAGAAGCTGGGCACATGCCTCAGTATTCAACTCAGATGTAGCGCTCTCAGTTACTGGTCACGTCCGAGAAATCAGTGACATCACAGCTGACAGATGTTCCGTTCCCAGCCAGATGTACATGCATGTACTCCTGTAGTCACAGAGATAGGGGGACCTAGCATGCTTAGCTCACCTGTATATCCTTCTGTATCTCTGCTATCCTTCCCTTCAGCTCGGCAACCACCTCCGCATTCACCTCATCATCTACATCTGGAAATAATGAACATATTGATATTTATCATGCAATGCAACATAGATGCTAAAATAATGCAACCAGACATAGTTTGAAACATTTCTTCAAGAATACACATTGGCATGTACATCCTGTAGAAATACTAGGATATTAACATTTACAACCACATTCAACACACATCACTATGACAATAGCTTACTTCACAACACTCAAAACATACCGATATCCACAGGAACCATTTGGAATCAGTACATAAACATTTCTTTTCTAGAATAATAATAAGTTAGCACTTACCATGGTGACGAGCATTAAAACAATATAACTAAAAAATTATCAGGCTGCAAAAAAAGCAAGGGTCCTTGTCATAATTCTAACATACTTAATGTCAAAATGAAAGATTTATGAGGCCCCGAAATACATGCTTGACAAAAGTACCATAGCCGAAAAAGCCAAGGACTCAAAGAACCCTTTAGCTTGTACCATTATAGATACAAGCCAATGAATAACAAATCAGTGATGGAAATTAACTAAGAACTTCTACTAGCCTACATTCAGCAATATCCCTCCAAAATTCTACTAGCCCTTAGGACACCTTAACACTAACGAAACAAACCAGTGTTGGCTAGCAGATTAGTGCCAATTTCCAACCCTGTAAATAAGACGCATAAACATGATAACAATAGACATATGATAGACATGATAGATAATGAAGTGAGTGAGGTATAATCATGATAATTCCCTACTCATCAAAGAGCTGATGGTAATGTAGAAGGTGCTGAAGGCTGGTATGGTCTGTTGAGCACTTACTACCAAGCCTACAAACAGCGGCCAGACATAGAAGAATGTTATTGTCTCACACCCTGGTCAGCTATGCAGTGACTGCAGCTACCTAGCAGGAAGTCATCTTGCCACACAACAGGGACAACGCAATAGTAGTCTCATCTCCATCACTCTTCACTGTGTGCACAGTCTGTGCCAAAAAGATTTGAGCCTACCGCAAACATGGCTATTTACAACATTTTTAGTCATTTTAGTGTTATCAATGGACTATCATTAGCTGAGATTACTAGACCGATGAGGATTTTACTAGACGTGGGCTTCGGACAAGTGGCAAATGTTTAGACTACTGCTTGTGATTGATCCGACATTGACTACAGATGAAGTACTTCAGGTATTTTCGTTTTGGTTTAAAAATTATTTCCAAATTACAGTTTTCTAAATGAATTTTGTTTCCCTTGCAGGGCGCAGCGATCATTATCATGATGATTATGGTATCCTGAGAATATACATCGCTAGTAAATTATTGTTCATAACTATCTCTGTATGGTATGTGTCAAGATGCAATATTGATTTTAATTAACATTGAACATAATTTCTAGAATTATAAGGCCACAATATGTGTGTGCATATTGAGCATCAAAAGAATGAAATATTGGAGCAAATCTTGAATCAAATTTGACTGAAAATATTTAATCTTTGATAGCTATTTAATCCTTAAAATCCACAAAGAAGTTCTTACAGGGCGGATAAAACTTAAGAGTCTGCAAGATAGATCATGTCTACTTTGCATCATTTTCAGTAGATTTAAAGTGTTAAAGTACAGCTTTTGTTAACTACGTTTACCAGATTGAAAAAGATTTCATAAGAACCTGAATTTTGTCTAGTGGCTGAAGATGCAGACTGTAATCATAATGGGCATAGTTCAGGATGTCCATGTAAATTCCTTATGGCCAAGTAGGATCTTACATCTAGCACATAAAAGACGACTATGCTGGTCGTAAAAGGCGACTAACGGGATCGGGTGGTCAAGCTCGCTGACTTGGTTGATGCATGTCATCGATCTCAATTGCGTGGATCAATGCTCATGATGTCAATCACTGGATTGTCTGTTCCAGACTCGATTATTTTACAGACTGCCCATATAGCTTGAATATTGCTGAGTGCGGCGTTAAACAACAAACAAACAAACACATCTAGCAAAACGGAAACATCTACTGAGGCAAGGAAGGCATTCATACATGGCAGGGGTTTACTCAGGTAAATCTAATTGTATCTCGAGTACTGGAGACTATCAGGAATGAAAATGGGGGTGAAAGGTGTCAAAGAGTAAACCACTGCTTCCTACTTGACATCCACAGACTGGTGACAAAGGGCATCACACCACAGAGATTAGGAATGAACAGGCTGAACTTCGATTGTACTTCTTATGAGTGAGTGAGTTGGGTTTAACGCAGCTTTTAACAGTTTTCCAGTTATATCACGGCAGGTCAGCTGAATGTGGGAGGAAAGCCCGAAGTGTTGCAGGTCTCAGACGTTTACCACTTTGGTGAAACCCACGAGCATGGGTATGGTGCTGACAAACCTAGAAACATAATCGGGGCGAACCCGGATTCAAACCCACAATCATAGGTTTCTGGCGTTGCCAAGGGACGCAACTCTGCACAGCAAATCGTGGTGCCTTAGACAACTGGGCCACCTGTTCTTCTTATGAGAATAGATACAAAATAGAAACTTTATATAAATGTACAACTTGTTAGATGCATGCTGATACTGAAATAAGTTTTAATGATTCATCCAGCAATCCTCTCTTTCATCCCATGTGACTTCCAGTGCATATTATTCCTCATTGTTTATGTGTACAGGATGATAATATGAGGCCTCCGGTAAACGTGGAAAAACACTGATATTGGTATGACCACATTGCCCGACATGACTGTTTCTCTGTACGCCATATATATATGAACAGGGTCATTGACATATCATCTGGGCTATAGTTCTATCTAAGTGGTCAGTAGTGTTTTACAGCATGGAATTTTGTTACAATTACCGTATTCGACATAATAAGCGCCCAGGATGCTCTCAAAATTAGAATTAGGGGGCTCTTATTAGAATATAATTTTTGTGAAAGAGTTGAAAGATCATAAATTTCATGGTTTATGCTGACAGCCTGAAATGATACAAAAGAAAAGTCTGTGCATATTATACACGACAGATATATTTTTCCAGAATTAAATTGCCCGTAATTAAGGGTGCATATTATACACGAGTACATATTATACATGGAGTCTTGTGTACATTCATCAATCGGAAGGGTGCTAATTGGGATTGTTCACTAACCAATATATTAGCAAATATCGCCATGGGTGCTTATTAGAGCGGGGCGCTTATTACGTCGAATACGGTAACAACATTCCATGCTGTCGAACACTGCTTTGGATATGATGGAACCCAATGCTTTCTGCATGAAATTTTCAGGAGCCATTTGTAATTATCATGATTATGCAGTCTCCAAAATCAATGGATTTCTAAATCCTACTTTAAGTTTTAACTATATTTCATGTTGACTAATGTACTTCAAATAATGAAACTCCCTTAGTTGCAGTACATGTCACACATCCCAGTGTCATCACTACTGGTTTGTCAATACTGGGAGATAACCAATCACCAGAATACTAGATGGCCAAAGAAAATCTATGACAAAATGCATCATTCAGGACAGTTTTTCCTTATATGTTTATACTCTCGATAGCTATATTTTAGAAGAATATCAGCCCTGACTTGCTCAAGTTCAAGTATCAAGCATAGGTTAGCGCCCTCCACCAGGGCGATTTTGACAAGGGTGAAGTTCTCATTAACATGATTAAAACATGCAATTGTTAAGTTCTCATTAACATGATTGAAACATGCAATTGTCAAGTTCTCATTAACATGATTGAAACATGCAACTGTCAAGTTCTCATTAACATGATTGAAACTAGCAACTGTCAAGTTCTCATTAACATGATTGAAACATGAAACTGTCAAGTTCTCATTAACATGATTAATATAAACACATTTCATAATTTTCATAACAATTCCTGCAGATGTAGTTGACCAAAGAGGATCTTAATCATACCTTGTTTTTGAGATCTGACATACTCCTGCCCACAGAACTTATCACTAACATCAGTGTACATTGTGCAATAAGCATGATAAGTGAGACAGATTACAACAGTACATACAATAACCATGATAACAGCAGCCACCATAGCCAGTGAATGGTGGGTTACAAAGTCCAAAGAGCATAGCCTATGTGTAATAGCATTCTTATTTATTCATGTTATTAAACATTAATTCTGAATTTGAGACAAAAATTAATCATACTGGCATCAAACAACCATGGTGGAAACATGTTCAAGTTATGCTATTTCTATCTAATCTGTCTGTCCGTATACAAGAGTAGTTATTTAAATATCAAAATAATACCATGGAATTGGGATTCAGAACTTTGTCTTTCTATGTCAGGCAAACACCAGGGTCAAAGTCAAACATGTTGCCATGGAAATGGAAAACATATAAATTCCAAAAATCCCCAAATAGGAAAAGGCACCAGTTGACAACCTGGTCTTTGTAATACCAATTAGGTTTAGGGATATGGTCCGGACAAACACACTACTATAAACAGAGTCAAAGTCAAACTTGTTGCCATGGAAACAGGAATTTTCTAAAAAATAAATAAATTCCTAAATAGCAAAAGGCACCACTTCAGCCCCTGATTAATACATGTGCCAAGTTTGAAAGAAAAATGCTGAATAATGTTTTAGTTCAGCTCTGGAAATGGCACCTACCTCAGTTTCAGCTAAGTCTAACTTGCTTCCATTGAAACAGGGAATAATCTAATTTTGAAACCTTCCTAAATTGCAAAAGGCACCTTTTCAACCCTTGGTTAATACATGTAGGAGGTTTGAATGAAAACTCTTTCACGGTTTTCAAGTTGTGCTCCGGAATCGAAATCCACCCCCCCAAGACTAATTCCAAATGGTTTCCAAGGAAATCGAGAAAAATGAAAAATGCAGAAAAGGCACCACTTCAGAATAAGGAAAAGGATAGGTTTGATATATCTGTCAACAAGCACTGCTGCAATTTCCAGCCTAAGTAAAAGTTGTTGCCACGGAAAAATAGTTTTGTCAGAAATCCCGAAATATCAAAAGGCATCAGTTCACACCAAGACCTATCTGTGTGCCAAGTTAGGTGAAGA